TATGAACCCTATGAACCCTAAACCCCCCTGAACCCTTCTTTGTGGTCTTCGCGGTGCCTTGTTCGGGCCGAATCGGGCCACAAAGGCGCTGGGATCGTCCCTTCCGAGCCTCAGACGTTCCCGGTTTCCACACAAAAAAGGGCGGCAAGGACCAGGGGGGGTTTAGGGTTTTAGGGTTTGTAGGATTTTAGAGTTTAGGGGTTTAGGGTTTTTAGGGGTTTAGGGGTTTAGGGTTTTTAGGGTTGGGTTTAGGGCTTCAGGGCTTCAGGGTTTCAAGGTTTGGTGTTTTTGGGGCTTTCTGGGAGTCAAGGTTGAGGATTCTGGGGCTTCGGCGTTGAAAGGTTTAGGGTTTAGGGTTTAGGGTACCCGTTTAGGATGCAAGATAGTGGTGACGGGGCTCTTCTCACGAGGATTTTGGCTTGAGGGGCTCAAGTCAGCTTCGCCAAAGCCGACTCAGATATGAACCTTGGCAACATGGATTCTGGGGATGTCGTGGGCGAAGGCCTGCCAAGAACAACATGTGAACCAAAGGGACAAAGACTATGTTATCGGTACATCGCACCCTAGCTCACTATAGTTATCAACAGATAGCGCTGTTCTTACTTCACTACTTATTCCCAAACCTGTAGTATCCGAAGACCTTGCTGTGAAGGCTTCTGCTCTCGAGGATCTTAGACATGCAGAGCCGAGGTGCCCCAAAGCTTCAAACGGATGCTCAAAAAAACCCTAGTTACAACTTATAACCTTTATTAGGGTAGTTATAAGTATGGTTCTAAGGCCCCGAATCTGGGTTATAGCTAAAGTTCTACTCAGCCGTTAACATTCAGCCCCCGGTTGAAAAAACCGGGAACACTCTACCATTATCACTGAGAAAAAACAGCCCCACAGCCCTAAACACGAAACCCTCTTAGACTATGGGCCACACTACGGTTGATGATATACATCCTGCATTACCCATCATAGGGAATATTATACCATAATTCCCATAGTTTAGGGTCCTTAAGGTCATGCGGGATTTATCTTAAGGGCCATAAACTCTGGGAATTATGGTATGTTCCTTAACATTATTATGGGTCATGCTAAGGATTTACATCATCAACCCCCTACGAGTCTCTCTTTGGGACTCCAAGTGGAGAAAAAGAGGCGGGCCCGGAGAGACCGGGTCTCGCGCTCGCAATTTACGAGCAGCGGTGCCTCAGCTAGAGGGCGAGAGAAAGGGGGCTTCGAGGGAGGGCTTCGGGTTTTGCGGGTTTAGGGCCAGTTTAGGGGTTTAGGGGCTTTAGGGGCTTAGGGGCTTTAGGGGTTTAAGGGGCTTGGGGTTTGGGGGTTTAGGGGGGTTTAGGGCTTAGGGTTTAGGGTTTAGTGGAACGACTTAGTGTTCACCAGCCACACACAAGATGCCGAGGAGCATCAAGAAGGTACGTCAGCAGCCAGGCAGCTACACGAACCACCTTCAGCTGCAGCTGGTTTAGGGTTTAGGGCTTTTTAGGGTTTAGGGTTTGGGGGTTTAGGGGTTTAGGGTTTTTAGGGCTGAAGCGACAGAGGAGAAGGCCCTCAAGTCTCCCTCACCCTGGCAAAATGGCATCTACCTGTCACTCCAGCTACTGGTAACCTCGCAAAACACTTCTTGAACGGTACCGTCTGCTGCCCAAAAAGGAGCTGAGCTCTCTCTGAGGCTTTCAGACTCCAGGGCTGCGATCACGCCTCGTAGTAGAAGAAGGCACGGAGGAAGCTTTCCTGGATAGACACCCCGGGCTTCGGAACTGCAAGGCAGGCCGAATCAAAAAAAGCGCGCCTAAACCCTAAACCCTATACCCCTAAGCGCCTTCATGTAGAGGGCGCCGATGGCTCCAAGACAGCCCCAAAGGATGGCCTCAGGAGTGGAGCCGACCGACTCCCCAAGCCGTTTTTTCTTCTATTATTCTTATTATTATTTTTTGTTATTATTATTATTACTATCATTAACTTCGTTCTTGTTATTACTATTAATTGCTATAAACTCTTAGAAATCTATGGACCCCCCCGAGATCGCGGCTGACAACTCGAGGATGTCAATCCTGGGCTACACTCGCAAGAGACGCCCATGACAAAATGCTCCTAAAGGCGCTGCCAGGTGGCCGAGTACTTTTGGTTCGCAAAGAGAAAACCAAAGAAAAATTCCAAAAAAAACACTTAGGGTTTTCTTAAGTGCAACGACCTTTCACACTGCAACAGCATGTCTTGCCCGCCTCGTTGGGTTTAGGGTTTAGGGGTTTAGAGAGGAACAACAAAAGCCTGCCTCAAGGTCACCCCAGTTTTTGGGCGCCGAGGCACAGGGCCCGGCTCCAGTCGGAGTAGCCGCCCACGAAAGCCCGTCGGTCCTCTTTTTGTTTCCGAAGGCCGAAGAAGGGAGGGCACAACGGAGAAGTTGAGCAAAACTCGACTGTCCGCCCCCCCTTAGCCCCCGAAACCCCCTGTTCCGCGAGGCCTCCTCCACTGCCTGGGGCCAGCGCAAGAGAAAGAGGCCGAGGCCCGCGCAGCCTTGGCCGAAATGGAAGAATACAGGACTAGTGCAGGGCAGCAGCACCCAAAGAGCGCCTCGAAACCCAGACAGGGTCGCTTCGCTTGGCTGCCGGACTAAGTCCACCCAGGAAGACTGCAGTGCGCACTGGAACGCCTCAGCGGTCAGCGAAGCATCGAAGGCGGCAGCACAGCTGCGACCACAGCGAACTCCACAACTTTCCCGCTCCCAAGGCTGCTGCACATGAAGGCCATCGGATGCAGGCCCACCCAGCCTGCCCCAGGGCATTTGGGGCTGTGCTTCAGTTGCGGAGAAGTCACTCACAACATCAGCAGCTTCTTGCACAGACCTGGACTGTGTCCAGCGTGGCTATAGGCCCAAGTGATGTACTCAGAGACTCATGGTCTGAGGTCTTCGGTCTTCGCAATGACTCACCAAGCAATTCTGCTGTCAAATACAAAAGAAAAGAAGTGATCGGGTACCGTCGCTGCTTCCGAATTGAAAGCTGGGACACGAAAGGCTAAAGCCCGAACTCTACTACTGCGGGATTCTTGAGGTTCTTAGCCCAAGGTCTATATAGATTTCAACAGCGGCCCTAAACCCCTTCCTTGGGCCCCCGGGCCATTGGCTTCGAGGGCCCCCCCCGAGGCCCTGCGGGCTTTCGGGAGAGCCTCAGAAAGAGGGCCCAGGCCCAGGGCGGGCCTCTCTGAGGTCCGAGGTTCCCAGAGAGCCCAATACCCCTTAATTAAGGCATATACCTTAAATGATAGGGGCCCTAATATTAATATTATGATTTAAGGTATATTCCTTAATTAAGGGGTATTGGGCTCTCTGGGTTTCGAAGCCCTCTGAGAGCTCGACGCTCCCCCCATGGCCCGCTCACCTGAAAGGCACGTCGGCGTGTCATTCCACGAGGTTGCAGCGACAACAATTAAAGAACTGGTTCAGCACAGTTGCTTCGTTGCGGCCACCCCCACCCACTGGTAGGCAGAGCGGCTAAACCACTGCAGAGCCGTGAACGAGGATGCGGCAGGCGAAACGGCTTAAGATCCAAGGCGTAGCAGGAATGCCTACTGGGAGTGGGTGTTCTTCGAAACTTAGGCGCGACATCTTTTGTTTCCATCAGCCTCAGCTCAGGGTGGCTTTATCTGCTTAAGTTGAAGTCACAAAGGCATACTCAGGCACTTGTCATCCAGTGCACCACGGAACTTGACCAGGCGTTTTCACTCGCAGAGTCTCACGGTATGCTGTTGCTTCGTCAAGCAGCACACATTAACACCCTGCTGAAGTCAAGGCCTTAAAGCTGGAGCCTTGCTGTAGCTTCAGAAGTCGGTGCTAAAGCCTTCTAGGCAAGCAGTGGAAACTCTTGCTTGCACGCTTAAGCCAGGTGTCGACGCTGATGACCTCTTGCACAGGACCTCGGACCATGAGACTTTGCTCATTGGAGCTGGTCCCCGTTTTGCATCCAGAGGGGCTTGGACTGCATTCGCATGATCTTGCCCATTCCGGCTGCTAAATTCGGAACCATGACCCGTTCAACCAAACCTGGCGATTGTGAACACGTGCGGCCCCGCGAAAGCCACGCAGCAACGCGAAATGGGCATGAGTTGGATGCCCTTCTGGCATAGTTGAGGTCCTTGTGCCTCATCCAAGCCCCCCGCTACCTGGAAGTTTCAGAAGAGAGCGATCCCACATAGCAAGATCCTTACAAGGATTCCCTTCGATAACGCGTTCTTCTGAAGCCCCTGCCCGGTGCATCCAGCGCTAATCCGGCGGCCCGCCACCTCACACCGTGCTGACTAGGTTTGGACTTGACGGATGGAGGGTCTTGGGCAGTGTAGAAGTCTCGCCAAGAGTTGATAAAGGTTTCCAAGGCTACCAGGAGTCACGAGGTCCAAAAGCGGGCACGTCATCCCTGCAGTCTCTTTTTGCATTCTCGCAGCCTTGGCCGAAAGCCGACGCCTCGATTCGACTGTGGCGGAATCTGAACATGGCCTTTGCGCCATGGATGTCCATACACTCCTAGTCGGTTGAGAATAAACCCAAATCTACAACCCCTTCATCGTCGTAAGGACCCCGAATACAGGGCCCAATCTCGGCCCAAAGGTCCCGCCCACCAAAAATGGGGCTGAAGTAGGTCTTCCTGCTCCTCAAACTTTATACACCCTGCACACTAAAGCGAGGCTTACGTCAAGAAGACAGTAGTGGTAGCCCCGAATCCATGCGTCAGCGGATGTTGCTCATGGAGCCCTGGCTCTTCCAGCCTGGCAGTTTCCATGGGCTCGCGGGCCTCCCGCTTGGGAGGGAAACGGAAGAGGGACCGCAAGGAATCGCGCGTTTTCGGTTTCAGGAAGACTATGACTACGGTTGGTGATATACATCCTTAGCATTACCTATATATATATATACACACACACACCATAATTCCCGTAGTTTAGGGTCCTTAAGGTAGTGCAGGATTTACATCATCAACCATAGGACTGTTGGGGTTCATGGTTCTAGCCTATAGGCCTAGGATCCATAAGGCTCCATAAGGGATTTCCCGAAAATTAGGCGTACCCTTATTTTGGGATCCTTACAATAGGGTTCCTACGATCTAGGGTACCATATCTGGGTCCCCTAATTTTCGGAAACCTAAACCCTAAACCCTAAACCCTAAATCCCCCTAGTAAGGCTCCGATGAGGACCTGGGTTGCTACCCGAGCCCCGGAGCCTCGGCTCTGCTGCGAAGCCACGAGGTCCGGGGCCTGAGCCGGTTTTGTTCTTTGTTTTTTTTTGTTTGGGGGGGGGAGGGGATTTAGGGGGATGCTTCTCTTCTTTTTGTATTGGGGGGGGATTTAGGGTTTAGGGTTTGGGGTTTAGGGTTTAGGGCTTGGGGTTTAGGGCTTGGGGTTTAGGGTTTAGGGCCCAGGGTTTGGATGTTTCGGGGGCTTAGGATACACGAGGCACGGCTTTCCAAGAACATCCAACACATCGGCCGCGGGACTGGCAGAGCGCATCGCCCACGACATCCATGAGGGTCCTGGCATTGCGCAGTCACAGATACTAGGATTGCTGTACTAGATTTATGAGAACAGAGCAACTGTTCGCTGGCGCTTTCCTTGGACACAGTGCGTCGACTCTTAAGTACAGGGCCTCTACGGCAGTCTTCAGACGCAAAACCGAGGGACGAGGCTGGATGCGAATATCTTTAGTATTCCTCCGACACAGGAGTAGTTGAACTCGCTGGCAATCCTCTGCCTACGGAACGTCCAGAACAGCAGATTGGCGCTTGTTCGAAGCACTCTTAGGCTTAGCGTTAGCCTTTGGCGGCCTTTCAGCTTTCACAGCTGTAGGCCCTAGGCCTCAAACCTGCGAGAAAGCCCTGTGCTCTTTCTAAGAGCTCTTCTTTCTCTTCTTGTCGTGGTTTTCTCCTGCCACCGCATCCTGCATGGCTCCACCCGAAGTAGGAGATACGCCTTCGCAAGCCACATGGCTTCCAGATCTCCACAACATCCCCGATGTTTACAGGAAAGAAACGAAGAAACCGGCAGAGTGAGCCCTCAGAAATGGCAATCTTGAGCTTGCACTGTGCAGTGGGTTCAATGGCCTGTTCTTTTTCAGCAGGCTCTGGAGATCATAGGCCACGTCCAACTCTGAGTCGGATGTCCACTGGACCTCGATTCGTCGATTCGAGTCTCCGCAAGCTTCGCTAGTCAGCACATAGCTAGTTCCCCAAATTAGGGTCCCCTTTTAGCTCCCCAATATAGTGCGGCCCCCCTATAAAAAGGGCCCTAAAAGGGACCCTAAATAAAAAGAGAACTACCCCCATGAGTCGGGGGACGCCGCTGGCCCCAGACGCAGCGGGAGACACCCAGCGCCATGTCCGGGGGCCTCAGACGGCAGCCTAAAGTGCATTGAGACCCTAAACCCTAAACCCTAAACCCTAAGCCCTAAGCCCCAAGCCCGAAGCCCTAAACCAATGTGCGAAATGTCATGCAGAAGAGCCCCAATCATCCCAAGTGGCCGTGGCACCGCCGTCCCTTGCTTCGGCACATCCCCGCCGTCAGCGCCCGCGAGCACTTCTCCAGAGGCGCTCCCAGGCCGCTGTGCCGCTCTGCACCGGAGGCGTTCAGCCAGCTTCCCTTTGAAGCGTCTGTGTGAACCTCAGTGCATCCGAGCTCCGACTCGGCGCGGAGGACCAAAGTCTGCCGCCAAGGTGCAAGAAGCCCTGGCGGGCAAAGCTGTCTCTGGCCACATGGAGCGGGCTCAGGTCCTGAAGGTTCAAGTCATTGCTGGGGGCCTTCAGTAGGATCTTCCATGCCATGTGGTCCTCATCAGATAGGACTGTCAGCTCCGCCAACGCTTCGAACGGCTTGTCGGAAGCAGCGAGAATAGAATCCAGCACCTGCAGGCATGAGAACAAAGGCGTGCTGCGAACCATACTGAGTGGTGATCATATCAAACGCTCAAGCATCCCTACATCGATGCATTCGTGCATACCTGCATGTGCACAGACCTGCGCATGCTTGCATGCATGCATGCTATATACCTGCCTACCTACCAACCCACCTACCTGCGTATATGTACGTACCTATGTACCAATTTCAGTCATACATACATATATACATTGACATACAT